TCTCTCTTTTAGGAAGAGTTTTCTTTGTTGTATTTTCAAAAATATATGTGGTTTTGGGAGATTTCCCCTGCTCTACTCACGCCGCCATCTTGGCTACGCCCATTAGGTAGGTTTTTGATTACCAGTCCAATTTCTTTGCTGGTAATTGGTCTGTTCAGATTTTCTGTTTCTTTCTGGGTCAGCCTTGGAAGGTTGTATTTTTCTGGAAAGTTGTCCATTTCTTGTAGATTATCCAGTTTGTTAGCATATAATTTTTCATAGTATTCTCTAATAATTCTTTGTATTTCTGTGGTGATTTTTCCTTTCTCATTTGTGATTCTGTTTATGTGAATAGACTCTGTTTTTTTCTTGATAAGTCTCACTAGGGGTTTATCTATTTTGTTCATTTTCTCAAAGAACCAGCTCCTGCTTTCATTGATTCTTTCTATTCTTTTATTCTTGATTTTATTTATTTCTTCTCTGATCTTTATTATGTCCCTCCTTCTACTGACTTTGGGCCTGATCTCTTCTTTCTCTAGTTTCGTTAGTTGTAAGTTTAGACTTCTCATATGGATTTGTTTTTCTTTCCTGAGGTAGGCCTGTATTGCAATGTAATTTCCTCTTAGCACAGACTTCACTGCATCCCACAGATTTTGTGGTGTTGAATTATTGTTGTCATTTGTCTCCATATATTGCTTGATCTTTGTTTTTATTTGGTCATTGATCCATTGGTTATTTAGGAGCATGTTGTGAAGCCTCCGTGTGTTTGTGTGATTTTTCTTTTTCTTTGCATAATTCATTTATAGTTTCATACTTTTGTAGTCTGAGAAACTCGTTACAATTTCAGTGTTTTTGAATTCACCGAGGCTCTGTTTTTGGGCTAGTATATGATCTATTCTTGAAAATATTACATGTGCACGTGAGAAGAATGTGTATTCTGCTGCTTTGGGTGTAGAGTTCTGTTAGATGTCTGTTAGGTCCATCTGTTCTAATGTGTTGTTCCATGCCTCTGTGTCCTTACTTATTTTCGTTCTCTTTGATCTGTCCTTCAGAGTGAGTGGAGTGTTGAAGTCTCCTAGAATAAATGCATTGCATTCTATTTCCCCTTTTAATTCAGTTAGTATTTGTTTCTCATATGTAGGTTTTCCTGTGTTGGTCACATATATATTTATAATGGTTATATATTCTTGTTGAATTGACCCTTTTATCATTATGTAATGTCCTTCTTTGTCTCTTGTGACTTTGTTTGTTTTGAAGTATATTTTGTCTGATACAAGTACTGCAACTCCGGCTTTTTTCTCCCTATTAGCTGCATGAAGTATATTTTTCCATCCCTTCACTTTTAGTCTGTGTATGTCTTTGGGTTTGAGGTGAGTCTCTTGTAAGCAGCATATAGATGAGTCTTGTTTTTTTATCCATTCAGTGACTCTATGTTTTTGATTGGTGCATTCAGTTCATTTACATTTAGGGTAATTATCGATAGGTACGTACTTATTGCCATTACAGGCTTTAGATTTGTGGTTACCAAAGGTTCAAGGTTAATTTCCTTACTATCTAAGAGTCTAACTTAACTCACTTAATATGCTATTACAAACACAATCTAAATGTTCTTATTTTTTCTCCTCCTTTTTCTTCCTCCTCCATTCTTTATATATTAGGTATCATATTCTGCACTCCCCGTCTATCCCTTGATTGACTTTGGGGAAAGTTAATTTAATTTTGCATTTGCTTAGTAATTAGCTGTTCTGCTTTCTTTACTGTGGGTTTATTTCCTCTGGTGACAGCTACTAAAGTTTAGGAATGCTTCTATCTATAGCAGTCCCTCCAAAATGCACTGTAGAGATGGTTTGTGGGAGGTAAATTCTCTCAGCCTTTGCTTATTTGGAAATTGTTTAATCCCTCCTTCAAATTTAAATGATAATATTGCCAGATTAAGTAATTTTGGTTCAAGGCCTTCTGTTTCATTGCATTAAATATATCATGTCACTTCCTTCTGGCCTCTAAGGTTTCTGTTGAGAAGTCTGATTATATATAGCCTTATGGGCTTCCTTTGTATGTGATCTTATTTCTCTCTCTGGATGCTTTTAATAGTCTGTCGTTATCCTTGATCTTTGCCAATTTTATTATTATATGTCTTGGTCTTGTCTTCCATGGGTCCCTTGTGTTGGGAGATCTGTGTACCTCTATTGCCTGAGAGACTATCTTCTTTCCCAGACTGGGGAAATTTTCAGCAACTACCTCTTCAAAGACACTTTCTATCCCTTTCTCTCTCTCTTCTTCTTCTGGTATCCCTATAATATGAATATTGTTCCATTTGGATTGGTCACACAGTTCTCTAATTATTCTTTCTTTCTTAGAGATCCTTTTTTCTCTCTATGCCTCAGCTTCTTTGTATTCCTCTTCTCTAGTTTCTATTTCATTTATCGTCTCCTTCACCGTATCCAATCTGCTTTTAATAACCTCCATTGTGCTCTTCAATGATTGGATCTGATTGGAATTCATTCCTGATTTGTTGAATATCTTTCCTTATCTCCATGAGCATGGTAATGATTTTTATTTTGAACTCCCTTTCAGGAAGATTTATGAGGTCGATGTCAGTTAAGTCTTTCTCAGATTACGGGGAACATCTTTATAAAATCACCTTTAGGGCCTCCTTCTGGAGTTAAAAATATTTTAAGCTTAATTGCTTACTCAGCCACTCTGAGTCAACCATTCTTTCCTCCTTGGCATATTCTCTTCCTTTGGTTTTCATGATGCCATGTAATCCTAGCTTTCTTCATACTTTTTAGCCACTTAATGTTGCTTTAGCACTTCTGCTATATGTGGCTACTGAATGTTGTTGGAGTTCCTCAGGACATTCTCATGGGTCATCTTTTCTTCTCATTGCCTGTAGGTGGTCTCATCCACAGTTAGGGTTTTAATGGTCACCTATGTAAGTGGCCTACACATTTATTTTTGTTGCGTTACAGACTTTTTATGAAACTGCCTATTTGATAGTGTCTTTCCATGAGCTGTTCCCTTCCTCCTTTCCTCGTTGACTTCTTTTTATCTTTTTGTAGTTCAGCTTAGTGGCCCACTTTTTCAAGAAAACCTTTTCTAAGCTTACCAGGTAAGTTAAAATTGTCTAGAATAGGTTCTCAGAATGCCATGAACCTCTCATTCATAGCATATATCAGTTTGTTAGGGGAGCATTGTGTATTTTCCTCAGTCCTTGTCTCTGCCACGACAAAGAATTGAAGGGCAGAGATACAGTAGTGAAGCAGAGTAAAAGTTTTATTTGAAGTTACTTACAGAGAGAAAAAGTACAGGCCACCTCAGCAAGGAGAGGGACCCTGAAAGTTCTGGAGAGAGAAAGTTTAAGATTAAAAGGTTACACACTTAGAAAGTATGGGTGACCTCAGAGAGAGGAGCACCCCCTGAAAGTTTGAAAAGAGAGAGTTTAAAGTTAAAAGGTTACACACTTGGAAAGTGCGGGCGACCTCAGAGAGGAGTTCCCAGAAAGGATGAGGGTCACTCTTTAGGAATGTGACTAAGGGCTGAGGGTGCAGACTTGTTAAGTGGTCTTTGAATACTTAGAATTAACTTAACACAAGGATCTTCCTGTTCTGATTTCTCCCTGGGATACAGGCATCTTGGTCTGGGAGCATGCCTGCCCAGCCTCCAAGGTGGGCTGAGTTATTGTCTGTTTGCTAAAGAGTAATTTAATAATCTTACATTTTTAACTTCCTGGGTATTAAAATGCAGTCTTTAAGATGGAATACTTCCTGCTTTTCACTATGTTGTTTAAGGCTGGGTCTGTATGCTAAATTAGTTGCCTGGGTTACAAACTACTTAATTAGGGCTGAAAGGAGAAAAAAAACCAGCATATAGGTTAAGGTAAAAAAATAAGCTGGGCCTGCATGATTAACACAATTAAGACATGGGCTATGCTGAGGTACCCTCCTTTATCTGGGGAATATTCAAACATTCCAGACCAAGCTTTTTGAGCTTTAATTGATTAATTTGGGGTCTTTTTAGTGGACTTTCTGGCCTTTTTCTCTTTCTACCCCGCTCATCTATTTTCCTGCCTAGCAAGTTGAAACTTTATATTTATTTGTGTGATTATTTGATTATATGCAATGAAATACTTGTTCATGCTATGACATGGATAAACCTTGAAAACATTACACTAAGTGAAAGAGGCCAGACACAAAAAGCCACCTATTGTAGGTTTCCATTTATATGAAATGTCTGGAATAGGCAAAATGTAAAACTTTCAGGTTTTAAATTATCTTTTTCCTCAAGCATTTATTTAATGCTTCTTATAAGTAGCATAGGTGTATATAAACATATATATACACATATACATATACAAAACACACATGCCAGGCTCTGTTATAAATATTCAGAACACAGGTTAACATGGTTATTATTCTTAAGAAGTTTAGCATCTAGTGGGGGAAGGAAAAAAGTATAGTATTATAATGATTTAATAAAACAAGAGAGAATAAACTAAATGCTTTTTAAAAAGTTCCTGAAGTCTTTTAAGAAGAAATGAAAATTGAGCTGAGTGGCAAAGGTCAGAATAAATGCTTAAACAGCTAGTGTTTGGGTAACAGAGGATGTAAAAAAAAACAGAACATCATTTGGAATCAGTGTCTAGGCAGAGGGGAGCCATTACAGGATTAGAAGCCTGGGAATACTTTAGAGAGATAAGTAGGGATAAGGGTTTTATGGGGGATGAATGTCTGGAAGTGGTTGGAGTTAGGGAGAGGGATAGAAGTCTGTTGGCAGAAATTCAGGCAAGGAATACTGAGGACCATGGGCCTACATGGGATGGAGACAGAATGTCTGGGACCAGGTGACCTGGAAACTGATTAAATGGAGATAAAGAATGGGCACAGCTGAAGAAGACTTCTGAGATTTCTTGCCAAGGAGATGGTCTGTATACTGTAACCTTTGCTTTGCTGACTTTGTAGATTATTTTGTAGGTGTGCCTAGTTTTTACACACTTATAGATTTCTTGTTTGCCCCTATTTCAGGTAGATCTTTTGCGAGCAGGAGAAGTTCCTAAACCTTTTCCAACACACTTTAAGGATTTGTGGGACAACAAGCATGTTAAGATGCCGTGTTCAGAACAAAACTTGTACCCTGTGGAAGATGAGGTAAGAACAAAATTGATGTTCTTTTAGTCTCTGAAAGGTCGTTTAATGCACGCTTGTTTGACTTGCGATTCTGTGATGCAAAAAAACTTAGAGGAGTTTCCTCACTTGTTTTTTCTTTTCCTTAAAGAATGGTGAGCGAAGTGCAGGGAGTAGGTGGGAGCTCATTCAGACTGCACTTCTCAACAAATTTACACGACCTCAAAACCTGAAGGTATGTTATTTTTGCTAATCTTGCCTTTTACATGTAGTTGTTAGAAATAGGTTTCGTGTCTCCTCCTCAAAGACATTTTTTGATCTTCAGTAGATTTAGGTGATAGCATTATTTATATGCAAAGTTCATGTTTCCTGAGGAACTTTCTTAAGAGACTATCTTGATTTGCTTTCTATCACAAGGAATGAGTAGAAGAATTGGGAGTTGTAAATGACTTGCCTGGAGCCACGCAGAATAATTTCAAAGAACCAGGAATAATACCTCTGTTTCTTGATTCCCTATCCAATTTCCTTCAGTCCAAGCTTCTCTTTTATTTTTGTTTTAGAATTACCATGTTTCTGAAATGTCTTTAAAAACTAAATCAGGAAAGAATTATGACTTCAGTGGTATTTGCCCAAAGGAAAGCTGAGTTTCCTAATGATTAAAGTATACATTAAGCATTCTGCTTTTTATAACTGTTAATACAGATTCTAGCAGTTTAATAATTTATGTATTAATCTTATATTTTAGCAATAATTTATTTTTTGATTTTTAAAATATTTAAGATTATAAGGGTAATCATAGATAGTTTTTCTAATATCTAAATATGGGTCAGTGTATGTTTATTTTTGGCACTAAGAACTTTATTTTTGTTTATCTTCAAACTTTGTATATGTGTGTGTGTGTATATATACATATTCAAACTATATGTGAGTGTATATATACATAAATTTTATGTTTGTTTAGTATATGTTTATTTTGACCATGTAAACTTATAATTATAAACAGTTCACTGTGGAAACAGTTTCATTTTCTTTGAGAGACTTAATTTGTTGTGTATAGTTTCTCAGGTTTTATACTGTTTTTCTAACAATTTATTCTTAAACTTTCAGTACATTTTTGTAGCTCCTGTTTTTTTTCCCTTTAACATGAAAAACATTGATATGTCATACCACAATGTATTTTAAAAATTTCATTCCTTAGGGGACAGTGTTTCCCAATCCTTTTAAATGGAAGAAATTCTCAATGTCTGCTAGAATTTACTCATTTTTAGTATAATGTTAATTACATATGTACAAATAAAACTATGAAGTATTTATACATATAGTGTAGCTACATCAAGTTGATTTTTTCCATATTAAGCATTATGAACTGTTATTTGAGTTGTGTTCATCATCACAGTGAAAACAATTTATAGTCTGTGTTCCCTTTTTGCACAGAAATTTTTTAACCGCTGTTCTGAGCCCCAAAATAGTATGCAGAGAAATTTTTAAAAATGCTGTTTCAAGACAAACTTCCCTTTGTATTTGCTACTTTTCCTACTAATCACAAGCAGTTGGATATTGGTAGGTGAAAGGATTGGGTCTATATACAGAGTATCACTTGCAAATATATATGATAGTGACCACTTTAATTCAGCTTCTTTATAATTTGACATTCCGATACTCAGTGTATTTTAGGATGGCTTAATCTTTCCACCTTTTTTATCTATTTAAATTACCAGCCTTCATTCCTATAATGTGCCGTCTTTGGCCTTTGTATTCCCAAACCATGATTATAAAGTCACAAACACAGAAATGGGGCTACCCAAGAATACTATCTGGACTCCATTTGAGAAATACTCTCTTAGAGCCTTCATCGCCTTATAAACAGGATTATTTAAGAATTGTCATGTTTTTCTAGGTGTAAATGCAGAACAGTCATAGTGTTCTAAATTGTCTACTTTAGCAGTTATTTAGGTCTTTAGCAATTCCTTAGTGTGCCATGATAATTTTAGGAAGGGAAAATGGCTCTTCTCTGAATTTCCCTTTCTTGTTTATTTTATGGTAGATTCAACAGAACAGAGTAATCCATCGAGATTTTCTTCTGTCTGCTTATGGTAATTGTTTCCTTTGCTGAAAGAACACTATGAGAGGGAGGAGGAAACACTAAGTCTCTCTTACTGAATATAATAAGCTTTTTGCTGTTTTTATACCATTTGATACTAAGAGGGATTAGAGATGTTTAAAGTTTAAAAAAGAGCAGTGTCCTCAGAATGTGTTACACATGGTAATATTTCTATAAATGATGTGTCTTATAATTTCAAAGAATGGACTTCTTTGTGCTTTAACCAGTTACAATTTAGTAATTATGAACTAAGACAAACCTCAGTAGTCTTAGCTAAGGATACAGATTAGTATCCAAGCTTCCTAATTTAGGAGACCTCATGGTAGACTACTTTTGAGACGTGAAGACTATTAATATTAGGAGTTAATGCCAATTGTAGAACCCCATTAAAAAATTAGAGTATAAATGCTGTTTAAAATATTTTGCCTTACCAACTTTGAGGGATAATTTGCATATGATGAAGTGCATATACCCTTGAAGCCTCCACTGCAGTCAAGATACAGAACATTCCTATCACCCACATAGGTGCCTCTTACCCTTTGTAATTGATTCCGCTTTCTGCACTGGTCCCAGGCAAACATTTGTTGATATGCTTTCTTTTTTTTTTTTACTATAAATTAGTTTACATTTTACATGAATGAAATCACATAGTATATATGCTAGTGTGTCTGGCTTCTTTCACTTAAAATGGAAGATTTTCAAGATTCATCTGTGATACTGAGTTTATCAGTAGTTTGTTCCAGTGTCTGAACTGTCCATTCACCCACTGATAGGCACTGTTATTTAATACTTTGTGTGAGGTTCTGAAATTAGATACCAGTGATTAGAAAAAAAAAATCCTTAAAATCCTTTCCTAATTGAAATTTTATACTATGGCTGTGAGAAAGTAAAAGCTTTTTCTCGCCATGATATTTTGTGGTTAATTTTTTTTTTCCTTTTTGAAGGAACTTGGATATCCCTTGATTCCAAGTAAATAATATACATTTTCTTTGGCTTTTTTTTTAACCTAGATGTTTGGTGATTATTTATATGGCTTGAAATAATCCTGGGTATTAAAATGCAGTCTTTAAGATGGAATACTTCCTGCTTTTCACTATGTTGTTTAAGGCTGGGTCTGTATGCTAAATTAGTTGCCTGGGTTACAAACTACTTAATTAGGGCTGAAAGGAGAAAAAAAACCAGCATATAGGTTAAGGTAAAAAAATAAGCTGGGCCTGCATGATTAACACAATTAAGACATGGGCTATGCTGAGGTACCCTCCTTTATCTGGGGAATATTCAAACATTCCAGACCAAGCTTTTTGAGCTTTAATTGATTAATTTGGGGTCTTTTTAGTGGACTTTCTGGCCTTTTTCTCTTTCTACCCCGCTCATCTATTTTCCTGCCTAGCAAGTTGAAACTTTATATTTATTTGTGTGATTATTTGATTATATGCAATGAAATACTTGTTCATGCTATGACATGGATAAACCTTGAAAACATTACACTAAGTGAAAGAGGCCAGACACAAAAAGCCACCTATTGTAGGTTTCCATTTATATGAAATGTCTGGAATAGGCAAAATGTAAAACTTTCAGGTTTTAAATTATCTTTTTCCTCAAGCATTTATTTAATGCTTCTTATAAGTAGCATAGGTGTATATAAACATATATATACACATATACATATACAAAACACACATGCCAGGCTCTGTTATAAATATTCAGAACACAGGTTAACATGGTTATTATTCTTAAGAAGTTTAGCATCTAGTGGGGGAAGGAAAAAAGTATAGTATTATAATGATTTAATAAAACAAGAGAGAATAAACTAAATGCTTTTTAAAAAGTTCCTGAAGTCTTTTAAGAAGAAATGAAAATTGAGCTGAGTGGCAAAGGTCAGAATAAATGCTTAAACAGCTAGTGTTTGGGTAACAGAGGATGTAAAAAAAAACAGAACATCATTTGGAATCAGTGTCTAGGCAGAGGGGAGCCATTACAGGATTAGAAGCCTGGGAATACTTTAGAGAGATAAGTAGGGATAAGGGTTTTATGGGGGATGAATGTCTGGAAGTGGTTGGAGTTAGGGAGAGGGATAGAAGTCTGTTGGCAGAAATTCAGGCAAGGAATACTGAGGACCATGGGCCTACATGGGATGGAGACAGAATGTCTGGGACCAGGTGACCTGGAAACTGATTAAATGGAGATAAAGAATGGGCACAGCTGAAGAAGACTTCTGAGATTTCTTGCCAAGGAGATGGTCTGTATACTGTAACCTTTGCTTTGCTGACTTTGTAGATTATTTTGTAGGTGTGCCTAGTTTTTACACACTTATAGATTTCTTGTTTGCCCCTATTTCAGGTAGATCTTTTGCGAGCAGGAGAAGTTCCTAAACCTTTTCCAACACACTTTAAGGATTTGTGGGACAACAAGCATGTTAAGATGCCGTGTTCAGAACAAAACTTGTACCCTGTGGAAGATGAGGTAAGAACAAAATTGATGTTCTTTTAGTCTCTGAAAGGTCGTTTAATGCACGCTTGTTTGACTTGCGATTCTGTGATGCAAAAAAACTTAGAGGAGTTTCCTCACTTGTTTTTTCTTTTCCTTAAAGAATGGTGAGCGAAGTGCAGGGAGTAGGTGGGAGCTCATTCAGACTGCACTTCTCAACAAATTTACACGACCTCAAAACCTGAAGGTATGTTATTTTTGCTAATCTTGCCTTTTACATGTAGTTGTTAGAAATAGGTTTCGTGTCTCCTCCTCAAAGACATTTTTTGATCTTCAGTAGATTTAGGTGATAGCATTATTTATATGCAAAGTTCATGTTTCCTGAGGAACTTTCTTAAGAGACTATCTTGATTTGCTTTCTATCACAAGGAATGAGTAGAAGAATTGGGAGTTGTAAATGACTTGCCTGGAGCCACGCAGAATAATTTCAAAGAACCAGGAATAATACCTCTGTTTCTTGATTCCCTATCCAATTTCCTTCAGTCCAAGCTTCTCTTTTATTTTTGTTTTAGAATTACCATGTTTCTGAAATGTCTTTAAAAACTAAATCAGGAAAGAATTATGACTTCAGTGGTATTTGCCCAAAGGAAAGCTGAGTTTCCTAATGATTAAAGTATACATTAAGCATTCTGCTTTTTATAACTGTTAATACAGATTCTAGCAGTTTAATAATTTATGTATTAATCTTATATTTTAGCAATAATTTATTTTTTGATTTTTAAAATATTTAAGATTATAAGGGTAATCATAGATAGTTTTTCTAATATCTAAATATGGGTCAGTGTATGTTTATTTTTGGCACTAAGAACTTTATTTTTGTTTATCTTCAAACTTTGTATATGTGTGTGTGTGTATATATACATATTCAAACTATATGTGAGTGTATATATACATAAATTTTATGTTTGTTTAGTATATGTTTATTTTGACCATGTAAACTTATAATTATAAACAGTTCACTGTGGAAACAGTTTCATTTTCTTTGAGAGACTTAATTTGTTGTGTATAGTTTCTCAGGTTTTATACTGTTTTTCTAACAATTTATTCTTAAACTTTCAGTACATTTTTGTAGCTCCTGTTTTTTTTCCCTTTAACATGAAAAACATTGATATGTCATACCACAATGTATTTTAAAAATTTCATTCCTTAGGGGACAGTGTTTCCCAATCCTTTTAAATGGAAGAAATTCTCAATGTCTGCTAGAATTTACTCATTTTTAGTATAATGTTAATTACATATGTACAAATAAAACTATGAAGTATTTATACATATAGTGTAGCTACATCAAGTTGATTTTTTCCATATTAAGCATTATGAACTGTTATTTGAGTTGTGTTCATCATCACAGTGAAAACAATTTATAGTCTGTGTTCCCTTTTTGCACAGAAATTTTTTAACCGCTGTTCTGAGCCCCAAAATAGTATGCAGAGAAATTTTTAAAAATGCTGTTTCAAGACAAACTTCCCTTTGTATTTGCTACTTTTCCTACTAATCACAAGCAGTTGGATATTGGTAGGTGAAAGGATTGGGTCTATATACAGAGTATCACTTGCAAATATATATGATAGTGACCACTTTAATTCAGCTTCTTTATAATTTGACATTCCGATACTCAGTGTATTTTAGGATGGCTTAATCTTTCCACCTTTTTTATCTATTTAAATTACCAGCCTTCATTCCTATAATGTGCCGTCTTTGGCCTTTGTATTCCCAAACCATGATTATAAAGTCACAAACACAGAAATGGGGCTACCCAAGAATACTATCTGGACTCCATTTGAGAAATACTCTCTTAGAGCCTTCATCGCCTTATAAACAGGATTATTTAAGAATTGTCATGTTTTTCTAGGTGTAAATGCAGAACAGTCATAGTGTTCTAAATTGTCTACTTTAGCAGTTATTTAGGTCTTTAGCAATTCCTTAGTGTGCCATGATAATTTTAGGAAGGGAAAATGGCTCTTCTCTGAATTTCCCTTTCTTGTTTATTTTATGGTAGATTCAACAGAACAGAGTAATCCATCGAGATTTTCTTCTGTCTGCTTATGGTAATTGTTTCCTTTGCTGAAAGAACACTATGAGAGGGAGGAGGAAACACTAAGTCTCTCTTACTGAATATAATAAGCTTTTTGCTGTTTTTATACCATTTGATACTAAGAGGGATTAGAGATGTTTAAAGTTTAAAAAAGAGCAGTGTCCTCAGAATGTGTTACACATGGTAATATTTCTATAAATGATGTGTCTTATAATTTCAAAGAATGGACTTCTTTGTGCTTTAACCAGTTACAATTTAGTAATTATGAACTAAGACAAACCTCAGTAGTCTTAGCTAAGGATACAGATTAGTATCCAAGCTTCCTAATTTAGGAGACCTCATGGTAGACTACTTTTGAGACGTGAAGACTATTAATATTAGGAGTTAATGCCAATTGTAGAACCCCATTAAAAAATTAGAGTATAAATGCTGTTTAAAATATTTTGCCTTACCAACTTTGAGGGATAATTTGCATATGATGAAGTGCATATACCCTTGAAGCCTCCACTGCAGTCAAGATACAGAACATTCCTATCACCCACATAGGTGCCTCTTACCCTTTGTAATTGATTCCGCTTTCTGCACTGGTCCCAGGCAAACATTTGTTGATATGCTTTCTTTTTTTTTTTTTACTATAAATTAGTTTACATTTTACATGAATGAAATCACATAGTATATATGCTAGTGTGTCTGGCTTCTTTCACTTAAAATGGAAGATTTTCAAGATTCATCTGTGATACTGAGTTTATCAGTAGTTTGTTCCAGTGTCTGAACTGTCCATTCACCCACTGATAGGCACTGTTATTTAATACTTTGTGTGAGGTTCTGAAATTAGATACCAGTGATTAGAAAAAAAAAATCCTTAAAATCCTTTCTTAATTGAAATTTTATACTATGGCTGTGAGAAAGTAAAAGCTTTTTCTCGCCATGATATTTTGTGGTTAATTTTTTTTTTCCTTTTTGAAGGAACTTGGATATCCCTTGATTCCAAGTAAATAATATACATTTTCTTTGGCTTTTTTTTTAACCTAGATGTTTGGTGATTATTTATATGGCTTGAAATATTTCTCAGGAGACCCTTTGGCAGCATATTGATTTTTTTAAACTTCTTCGACATGAGATTTGGAAGGTTTATAGTAATAATCTAACAGTGTTTTTCAGATGATTATGTGCTTTCAGTAAAAAAAATTTTTTTTAATTTTACTTTCAGTAAAAAAATTTGGGGATGTGTATTAGAAATGCAAATTGTTTATAAATTTTACATACTTAATGCGTATGTTGTAACATAAAAAAATGTAAAAGGATGGGAGGAAATATAATTGTGAATAATCATTTTTTCTGCATAACTAATGGATTGTCATATGCATAGCATACCCCAGTCTGCTGTTAAAACACAAAATTCATCTGAGTAATTTTAAAGATCTTATTGACGTTTTTCAACAATTCATGAATCAGGGAGCACCCCTTTGTCCAAATAGAAAAGATCTCCAAGGATCTGTACAAAATGAAAGATTTTTATAAACAGAAGAGACTGGGAACAAGGAAGTTACACTAACAAAAAGGGGATTGGTTGTGGCATGGTCACACCCTCTAGGGGATGGCAGGGTCTGTCAGGCAGATCACTTCATGTGTGCTTACCAGGCGATTCTTGATTGACTGGTTTAAGATTGCATTAATAGAAGAGGTCAAAATTGTAACTAGGTCTCAGTTTGGTGACTTGGGACTTAGCATAAGTGACTACATTTGGGGCCTGTTGTCTGGTTTTTAACACTGGAAACCAGGTGTAAAATATTGCTTATTCAGACAGTTCCATGTTAATACCAGTAGATGGCATACTATTTAGACTCTTCACTACATAAAAATATGTAATTTACATGAACTGCTGGGAGAAGGTAATCATTTATATGTAGCTTATAAGAATAGCTTATAGTAAAGGGAAAAGGGGCATTTTATGCTGTAGGGCAATATTTCTTAATCTTTTTTTTCGTTGTTGCCCACTTCCCCAAGGAGCCTTTTTTAGACTTTTTTTTTTTTGTAATTTACTCTACCCATGAAATTTTAATACTGCAGTCTCTGTATCTATGTATATAGTGTGACCCTATTGAAAGTCAAATATCATTATAATATTAAAAATTCTTATCCCCGAGATTCAATTTTTGTCCACCTGGAGTTTATCACCTCTGTTTAGGATGCATGCATAAGTGAATAATAAATTAGCTATACATTTGATTTGTTCAAATCAAATGTATAGCTAATGATATGTATAGATACTGATGTGAAGTAGCTAATGATAGGAGGAAGCAAGGAGACAGGCTACTCATAGATAATTCACTTGACTATCATGAGGTTTTGTTTATGCTTTTTCCATAGGATGCTATTCTAAAATACAATGTGGCATATTCTAAGAAATGGGACTTTACAGCTTTGGTTGATTTCTGGGATAAGGTAAAAGTATGCTTATTTCTTTAATTATGATAATAATATAACTCTATAAGAAAGTTTGAGAAAGATAGCCATAATTCTTTCATACTAACAGAATTATCTTTTATTTTGCAAAAAAGATTACCTGTATATTTCACATGCATGTTTTAGAAGGTAATTTTGAATTTTGCTTTATTCTTTCATAATACGCATTTTCTGTTTATATTGTTATACTATTATCAACATTATGAATGGCTACATAATGTTGACTAGATTTTGATCCTCATATTCTCAAACATGTAGTTTGCATCCAGTTTTACTCTGTTCTCAGTTAAACTGTAGTAACACCTTTACATATACCTGTTTTCCCAAATTTGATACTGTTTTTTTAAGTGATTCCCAGAAATTAGATGACTAGGTCAAAGGGCACAAAATTTTTATGGCCCTGGACTTAGGCTGTAAAATAATTTTCTGCAGGAGACTAGTAAAATAATTTTCTGCAGGAGACTAGTAATTTAGTATGCCATAAGCAATGGGTAAGAATATCACTTTCATAGTAATGTTAGAAGAATAGTCATATCATCCATTTTGAAAAAATACAGTATACCTTTTGTTTAACATTATTATTTTGAAATAATAATAGATTCACAAGACACTGCAAAGAAATATATAGGGAGGTCCCATGCACGCTTCATCCACCTTCTCCAATGTTGATTGCTTAAATAAATATATGATATCAAAACCAAGAAATTGACATAAGAGCTTATTTAGATTTTACATTTATATCTGTGCTCATTTATGTGTATACTTATATAGCTGTAGATTCATACAACCACCACAATTAAGATACAGAACTGTTCCATTACCATAGGGCTTGCCAGTGCTGCCCATTACAGCTAAACCAACTCCCTTCTAGCTTCTGGCAACCGCTAATCTGTTCTCTAGCACTATAATCTTGTTTCAACAATGTTCAAATTGCCTTTTTTCACTCAGCATAATCCCTTTGAATCCACCAATAATTTGTCCCTTTTTATTGCTGAGTAGTATTCCATGATAGAGATACATCATGATTTGTTTAACCATAGACACATTTCAGGACATTTGGGTTGTTTCTAGTTTTTGGCTGTTAAAACTAAAGCTGCTGTGAATTTTCACATGCAGTTTTTTGCAATGAACATAAGCATATGAACATTTCTCAGTGATAAATGCCCAAAAAGTACGATTGTTGAAATGTTTAAGTATATTTTTAGTTTTAGAAGAAACTGCCAATATACTTTTGCTAGGTAAGTAAGCACCCCTCACCCCTAAGAAAGAGTCTTTCATGTATAATCTATTTGAAAAAATTTTATAATTTGATTCTGCTCATTATTTTTAGTCATCCATTTTATTTCTGCTTCATTTACTAATAATAGGAACTGAAAGCAGTTTTGTAAATGGAAACATTTTGAATTAAAATTTTCAGTCTTACACAAGTTTGACTTATCTAATAGAGAATAATTACTGAACTGTTCCATGTCCATTGCTTTTTATATTGGGGTCTTCCCTCTCTGGCCTTTTCTTTAGATAAATAACCATAAGATATTCATTATTATTCCTATTATAAATGAGTAATTAGAGTTTTCTTTCCACTATTGCCGACAATCTTGGTATGGTGTCCCTCTGCACACACCCTGCCCTACTTACTGCCTCATTTTCTCTGTAGAGACTGATAGCCCCCCTTTCCCACTTTTCTCTATCTTTTACCTACACTCACATTTTCCTGTTTGCTTTTTCCAAGATGAGATGTCACCTTTCTTTGAATTTCCATGACAAATTTCTAAATTTATCTTGTGGTACTTGCTCTCTTGTCTTGCTCTATTCTTGATGAAATGTTGACATTCTCTGTTATGTAAATTTCATGGGGCAGAGACTGTCTTTCTTAGCTTTGGGTTTCCTATAGCACCTCTACAATGCCTTACATGTAGTGAGTTATGAAGTTATAAGTAGAAGAAGTTATGGAGTGGATTTCAACAATCAATATTGTTTTTCAGGGTTACTGAGGTCAGGAGAATATTATCTAGAAGCAACCCTTCAATTTTTTTTTTCTGGAGAGCAAATGAGAGGCTTTTATTTAGAGATAAAGTGAGAGGACAGAGCTCCGGGCTCACTCCAGGAGGGCACAATAGAGTCCCGGGTGCATTATCTAGGGGTTTTTATAGGCAGTTGAGAGACAAAGGGCTAGGGATGTACACCTGCTAAATGGTTCCAGTGTTTATCTTTGAAGAGACATTAGGTTTCTTATTAGTCTTCCTGGTTATTTACAAGAAATTTATTGCTCTGATTTCCTCCCAGCGTAGCAGCTTCCTGGTCTGGGAGCATATCACTCCAAACTGCCTGCTTTGCTCCCAAAGTGGGCTGAGTTATTATCTGTTTGTTAAAGAGTATGTAAAGAAACTTACTTTTTAATAAATTGGGTTTTAAAATGCAATCTTATTTTCCTGTTTTTACTAGTTATTTGGGCTTGCTTGTTAAATTGCCCAGGTTGCAAATCATTTGATTAAGGCTTGAGGAAGAAAAGCAGCACCTGAGTAAAGTCAGAAAAATAAGCTGGGCCCCTCAGCAGGGCAAAGCAAATCTTACAATAGATTATCTTGCTTTGTTTTTTACGGAGGCCCTTACCCTACTCTAAGTCCACAGTCCCTGTCTCATAACACTTCAGTTTAAAAAAAGTTATATTCCTGATTCCTGCCTCTGGTACCTGCCCACACATATAGTACACCTAAATACAACAGACTCTTCCTTCACTGAGCATTTTTAGCTAGTGATTTTCTAGTGTTTTCATCTGTTCATTTCCTAAGACATTACTACTGAAGATCTGTCTGTCTGTCCTGTAGAACTGCTCATGGTAATCCAAAAGAAAGTAGTTGGTTAATTGCATTGTCAGGAGTCAAACATTCAAAAGATAATTTTGAATCCTTATAGTTACTAACTCCTGTTAATTTGAAGAGCCTGAAAATGTGAAAATGCAATTGAAGTGGTATAGATTACACCACCACCCCCTTTTATCCAGAAATATTTTTATTATCTCATAAAACGTTTGTGAATTTGCATGATGTACAGCAGTGGCTCTCAGATGTATCATGTTTTTGAGTCCTGGAGGGCTTGTTGAAACACAGATTGCTGCCCACCACCCCTTCTGTGTTTCTGAATTCAGGGCTTGGGGTAGGACCTGAGACTTTACGTTTCTAGTAGGTTCCTCAGTGATGCTGCCACTGGTTTAGGGACCATGCTTTGAGAGCCACCAGTGGAGGAAAGAGCATAGGATTAGAAATGAGAATCATGGGTTCTTAGTCTCAACTCTGTGTAAACTTGGGCAAGCCACATGGCCTCAGCCTTAGTTTAATTTGTTAAATTAATAAAATAACTACTTTATCCACCTTAATAGTATGTTTTAAGGATCTAGCCACTATATCTGAAATAATTTTTAAAATTCGGGAGTGATAATCAAATAAGTGTTACGTTCTTATTTCTGAGAACTGTTTTGCTGCTTTAAAAGGTTTTTCATTAACATATCTGAACTTCAGAAAGCTTGGGAAATATAAAAAAGCAAGACAATAAAAATTGCCAATGATTTTGCTGTCCAGAAAACAATCACTCTTATTAATATTTTAAAAAATGTAATTCTATCCATTTATGCATATTGAATATGGATTTTTTAAAAGTTATTTACCAGTGAACATCTCAATGCCTCAGTCTTTTGTATCATTATTTCCTCAGAATAGATTCCTAGGAATATAATCTTTGGATCAAAAGGTATGTTGGTTTTGAGGCCTTTGATGCATGCTGTCAGATTACCTTCCTAGAAGGTTTTTCTGGTTTTCAGTTCTCAACAGCAGTGTGTGAGTTCTGCATCACCATGCCCTCCAAAGTATGTTTACTTTCAAAGTATGATAATATGTGAAGCACCTTGTGCAGTATATTCTGCAGAGTAAGGGTTTATTATGTTTGTTAAATTTGTTGCTGCAGAAAATGTACTTATAGGATACTCAAGCTTATTAGAAAGCAAGTTTTGGTTACTTCAAAGTAATTTTCTAACAATTGTAGTGGTATCAGTGTGGGATATGAGAGTCTTCCAATTTAAATCATGTTACATCTCAGACTCCAAATAGGTAATTTTACTAGTAAAATATGAGGTTTATAATTAAACTGTTAAAGGTTGAGTTTATTCTCTTCAGTTCTTGTTCCTGCTACAACAAAGAATTGAAAGGCAGACACAGTAGTGAAGCAAAATGAAAGTTTTATTTGAATACATTCCAAGAGAGGAGCAGTCCAGAGTCAAGGTAGACAAAGGCACGCTGCTTATTGTGAGGCTTCTTGCAGGACAGAGAAGTCCTTGGGGTTTTTGCAGGACAGAGAAGTCCTTGATTGACAGTCTTTGGCCTTGGAGGCCTGGTCTATTTGGTGAAATGGACACATGGGGCTGTGTTCTGATGATTTCTGTACCTGTCCTCTGATACTTTTTTATCTGGGCAATGTCAGTGCTTGGAGACTGCTCATCTGGGAAGTCGTTTTTCATCTGGGGAATCTTTGGACATTTCCAGTAACTCCTAGTCCTTGAAACTTCAACTAGTTAATTCTGAGTCCTTTCTGGCTCTTCGGCTTCATCTGGTTAACTCTTTGAGTCCTTTTAGTAACCTCTGCAGGCTTTCTTGTCTCTCCACCCAGCTTACATCTGTCTTTCTGCCTGACAGAACTATAAATTTGTATTTATTTGCTCTAAAAGTTTGAGATAATTTTTCTCCTGGGTATATACTCTATATACTGTATTTTTTCACATACCTAAAAAATGTTCAGTTACTTTTGAGGAAAGGAGGAAAAAAGTAGCATTTATTGAGAGCATATGTGTACCAAAAGGAATATATTACTTAAGTTAATCCTCACTTTTGTGAATTATAGGTAGCACATTCAATTTAGAGAGGAAAATAGATCTAGAGAGAGGTTAAGTAACTTTTTCAATATTATATACAAATATTAAATGGGTGAAT